TTGTAGAGATGCTAGCTAGTTCTAGTCTGGGGTGGGACCTAAGACTGTATGCATCTTGCTCGGCTTCCAGGGGAAGCTGCTGGTCCCTGGATCTTATCTGGGTGGTAGGGAGAGACAGGATCACCACCCCACTAGAGGGATGTGTCTCTAGAATTTGCGGTTTTTAGGAGAAGGGTGGAGCTGAATCCTCAGACTATGCAAGAATGCTACCAAGGTGCTGTGCCACTGAACTGATTTCCAGGCTTGAGTTTGCATGTTTTGCCTGACACATTTTCCTGCAGTCCAGGATGGGGGAACTGATCTCCCTGCCTCCAACTCCCAAGTGGCAGGATTACAGGCATGCAAAGCCATGCCAAGCTTTGAACTTATTTGTTTGTTTATTTATTTATTTATTTATTTGATACAGGGTCTCACTAAGTAGCTCTGCCTATCCTGGAACTCACTATGTAGACCAAGCTAGCCTTAAATGCATGAATTTGAGGTTTCTGCCTCCAGGATGCTGGGATTTCAAGTGTGTGACACCACACTCAGCTTCAAAGTTATTCCTAAAAATCACCTGTCCAACCGGTTTTTAGACACAAGCGTTTGGGAACTACTGACCTACTACTAGGTGGGGGGAAATGTTAAGTACTGTATGTATAGTAAGATGGCATCTCCCTAGTATAATAAATGGCCCAAAGAGCAGGTAAAACAACATGTAAGCTGTGTCCACACTGTGGTGATGGTCAACATGCTAGACCCTTCAGTGCAGGGAAGGACCGTAAATTCCCCAGGCTCTTGCTCTCACTGTGTACAGACTGAAGGAAGAAGACTGTAACTGCCTTAGGAAAGGCTGCTTAGGAATGAGAGTGAAATAACATCCACAGGGCAGAGGGAGAATGAAGGTGACGCAAGCTCTGGACCAGAGACGGCAATCAATAGGAGACTTCTACTGGTGACTAGGCAGGAAGGGATAAACAGGCTCCTCCATGGTCTGAGTGAAGAAGACCCTGAAGATTTGGGGGAGAGTGGTGAGGTCTCCTCCAACTTCTCCAGTGGGTGCATGGAGCAGGAACAGGGCTGTAGAAGAAAATGGACGTGATTCGCTGTGGTTTGTGGAGATCAAAATTCTCTCATCCTCAGTGCCAAACCAAGGAAAAGTCTGCTTCTGTCACTTCCGGAAAATACTTCAACTGTTTTGACTTGCAAGTGAAAAAGGAAATTTAGAAAAAGATGTGCTAAATTAATGGGTTCTCTGTGGGAAATGGAGAAGAAACCCCAAGTCACTTGTGATGATTCAAACCTGTAATCCTAGCCAAAACAAGATGATTACAGGATTGAGGGCAGGCTGGCCTGCAGAGAGACCCTGTCTCTAACAACAAAGGAGGTCTTTCTGCCTGCTTCTCTCCTGAAAAAAACACCCCCGTTTTTTTTCTTTTTGAGACAGTGAGACAGTCTTGCTGTGTAGCCCATACTG